TGGGGCAAGCCAGGGTTTCAGCTTGAAGGAAGATTTCAATCTGGTTAAGGGAGACAGGTGACCAGTCCTGCAGAGAGGCTTATGAAGTAACTACCCAGAGAGGGGAGAGGCTGTCAATGCCACAAGGGTCCTCCTTTCAGCCGAGGAGCTGATAGGTCCAGGGAAGTTTTCTAGAGGTTGTGCCTGCAGTGGAGATGTAAGGACTGGGAGGATTTGTTGTGTGGGGTGGATACAGGGAGATTTCCCAGGAGAACATGAACCGAGATGCATGTGAGAAAGAAGACGTCCAAGATGAGCCTGGCCTTGCCTGTTTGAGGCAGGGTTTCATGGGCAGTAGGAGATGATGTTGGAGAGAAGAAGGAGGCATCAGTCAAGGATGCTGGGGATGAGCTGAACGGCTGGCACCTAGAAAGGTGGGCCCAGGTTGTGCGCGTCGCCGCTGAGGAAGGTCAGCTGATTGTAGCGACTTAGTTATGAGTTAGCATGGCGAAGGAATCCTAAGAAGACAGCCTCGAGGAAGTGAGCACTGACTAGAGCTCAGTTTGTTTTTTCAGCCAATATCTTTCCTTAGAGTTGAGGTTGGCCTTCCTTGGCTCATTCAACTCCCTAAAGTGATGCCTCATAGACTTTGAACATGGGTTACCTGTAGGCAGAACAAATTGCTAGCAATATTGGGAATGTGTGTGTGTGTGTGTGTGTGTGTGTGTGTGTGTGTGAGAGAGAGAGAGAGAGAGAGAGAGAGAGATTGGGATTGATTGAGAAGGACTGATAGAGAAATAACACATTGAGAAGGTAAGGGAGAAAAGACAGTGTACTATCTTACTGTTGGCGCTCAGTGAAAGCTCGTGCTGAATAAATGCTGCTGTATTAAACTGAAGTACAGAGAAGACTTACAGAGCTGGACTGGGACCACCATGCATTCTCTCTCTTGTTTGGTGGACTCTTCCACCAACCAAATCAGCACCATCTAGTCACCTCTTCGGCAACAGAAATGCTGCAAAATGAGGGAGATTGGATGTTAATTTCCTTGGGGATATTTTTGCTCTTTCTTGTCCTTAGGTTCTGTAGTTCTTCCTATCGTTGGATTTATTTTTATTATTTATTTATTTATCTATTTTGTGGTACGCGGGCCTCTCACTGTTGTGGCCTCTCCCGTTGTGGAGCACAGGCTCCGGACGCGCAGGCTCAGTGGCCATGGCTCACGGGCCCAGCCGCTCCGCGGCATGTGGGATCTTCCCAGACCGGGGCACGAACCTGTGTCTCCCACATCGGCAGGCGGACTCTCAACCACTGCGCCACCAGGGAAGCCCCTATCATTGGATTTATTAACTTTGCTCCACAAGGAGGCTATTAACAGTACCCATAACCCCAGGTAAGTCACCTTATAAATGCACGGCCCCTTGAGAGTGTGATTGCTTCCACATTAAACTCTCACCACTCCTGAAGTTACACAAAGGTTGCCTGAGTCTGGTCCAGCACTGCCGTGGTCAGTGATGAATGAAAGGTGACATCTGCCATCTTTCTCAAGGAGCTGAGCTCTCGTTCCTGTTAAACAAGCAACCAATTAATCAAGTCAGTGCTAATTGAATGTCTATTATGCTTTCAGTATTTGGAGGCAGCCTCTTGTCCTTTGATACTCCAGGAATTTTAACTCTGACTTGAACTTGCACCTACCCTTACTCCAAAATCATTTGGTTTCTCTTAACTACTTCTGTTTCTTCCTCTGGAAGCTGAAGAAATAGCTCTGCCCTAAGTGCTCATGGGGCAAGTACAGAAATTGGGTAACTAAGAATCAGTACAAGAAATTCTTTGTTATTGAGTTCTCCAGTAATTTTGGATGACATGGATATTTTCCCTCTCATTTTAAAGGTATGAAACATTTCACACCAAGAGAAAAGAAGAGAGAGTAATATCTCAATTGCCTGGGTCCCCACTACCCAGTTTTGTCAGATATTAACATTTAACCATAGTTGCTTCCTAATTTTGTTTTCTAAAGAAATGGAGCTTTGGACTTTAATCCCAATTCTATTGAGTGACCCAGAGGTGAGTTGGCTATTTCTGTGCTTTTTCTTTAAAATGCGGTGAAAGGTGGGGCTTTGAAAGGGAGGAGGTGACAAGAGCTCCAGATTCCATTGCAGAAGAATTATGTAACATGTTAATAGAAATTCTAAAATATTTTAAAACTGGAGTTTATCAATTGTATGAATTTAACAGACTTTAAGTTGCTCTTAATTTCCCCAACTACTAAATTTTTGAAAGGTTTTGGAAGTCTTTAAGTCTACACCATAATAAACCCATCAAACACTGTATGGTCCTTGCCCTGTTCAAATCAATCAAATCCACATAATCATCAGGTACTTAGAATTTAAGAATATGACTTATTCTTTGGGTTTTAGTCCTTAGAAGCCCAAAAGCTCAATGTCATTTTTCTATTTTGGCTTGGTTTAACATTTCCTAGGTTGTTCTTTGGAAAGAGAGATATGTGTGAATATTAACTTGATTTCATTAATGAGTTGCTATTTGAGTCTTCTGAGCTTGAAAGTTGAGTGGGTTGTTTCCCTTGAATCACAAAGCTGGCTCGTAGAGTATTCATTCATACAGAGATCCAATCTGATAACATCGTATAGAATTTAGAATATGTAAAGCATATGAATAGTAGTGGAAAGATTTTGAGAGGCTAAAGATGACTCTAGCAAATCCTAGGGTTATAGATACCATTAAAAACCACTGTCTCCAAGGATAAAGATCATGGCATACGTAACATGTGCTTACATCAATACAAGCTAGAGAACAGTCCGTAGAGTTCAATTTGGATGACGCCACTGCCCAACGCACTTAGAAACTATGAGAGGTTTAAAGGTGACTAATACATAGCTAGTTCATCATCAAGTTGTATAGTCAGGGAGACAGGTGTGTATGACTTAATAGATTACGAGGTAATAAGAAGTCAGTGCTATAACAGACATACAAAGGAAATTCCATATGATCAGTGCGATGGGAACAGTTTGCTAATTCAGCAAAGATTTATGTCGCCAGTACTGAGTAATCCATTTTAACTGGCAGGAGTGCAGGGAAGCTCAAAATAAGATTGTATTTGGTCACAAAGCACCGAGCTGATCTCCCTGTGCTATGCGGCTGCTTCCCACTAGCTATCTACTTTACGTTTGGTAGTGTATATATGTCCATGCCACTCTCACTTTGTCACAGCTTACCCTTCCCCCTTCCCATATCCTCAAGTCCATTCTCTAGTAGGTCTGTGACCACCTAGAGGGGTGGGATAGGGAGGGTGGGAGGGAGGGAGACGCAAGAGGGAATAGATATGGGAACATATGTATATGTATAACTGATTCACTTTGTTATAAAGCAGAAACTAACACACCATTGTAAAGCAATTATACTCCAATAAAGATGTTAAAAAAAAATTGTATTTGGGGACTTCCCTGGTGGCACAGTTAAGAATCCGCCTGCCAATGCAGGGGACACAGGTTTGAGCCCTGGTCTGGGAAGATCCCACATGCTGCGGAGCAACTAAGCCCGTGCACCACAACTACTGAACCCATGTGCTGCAACTACTGAAGCCCGCGCACCTAGAGCCTGTGCTCCGCAACAAGAAAAGCCACCGCAATGAGAAGCCCGTGCACCACAGCAGAGAGTAGCCTCCGCTCGCTGCAACTAGAGAAAGCTCGCGTGCAGCGACGAAAACCCAAAGCAGCCAAAAATAAATAAATAAATAAATTTTTTAAAAAAAGTATGTTCTGTTATTTAAAAAATAAACAAAATAAAATGATACAATAGATGGAAAAAATTTTCAAAGAAGATTTTATTTGATTTGATCTTTAAAAAAATGGCTAGGCTTTCAATAGGAAGAGAATTGGGGATGACAGTCTAGGTAAAATAGGGAAAGAAGCAGGAGAGGAGGAAAGTGGTGTAAATGAGGATACAGCATAAAGATGTAATGGTTTTTGAATTTCCTCAGATTTGTCTGCAATTCCAATGCCTCACTTTTAATTCATTTCTCTCTTCACTGTGTTCTAGCCTTTGTCTACATCACTTGCTCAGAGGGCTTCTGGCCAGGTCATCAATGATTTCTCCATTCCAGATCCAATGGACACTCTTTAATCCTCATCTTATTTGACCTCTTGGCAACATGGATGCTGTGGTCTGCTCTTGTCTTCTCACTCCTCCTTTGGTTTCTACAACACCTTGTGTTTCCTTCTTCTTCTCTAATCTCTATTCTCAGTTCCCTTTCTCTGGCCAATCCTGCTTGCTCCAATTCTTTATGCATACATTTTCTTCTCCTGTAGTAGACACTCCCTTCCCATATTATATCTGAATAATTCTTATTTACCTTTCAGGTCTCAGCTCAGGAAGTCTTCCGTATCTTCCTACTCCCCAGATCTTGCCCCGGTGTAGTCAGGAGCCTCTAGATGAATGCCCATAGTACCCAGCTATCTTCCTAGATCGGTGTATTTTCATTGCTTGTATCATCTAAATCTAAACGCAGAGGTCATGTTCACCATTATATTGCCAACACTTAGGACAGAGGTGGGCTAATGCCAAGTACTTAATAAATACTTCTTGCACTTCTTGAAGAATGAATAGTTTCTTCAGGTGACATCAGGAGCTCTGGGTTGGTTACAATAGGGTGTATACAGAAAGAGAGGAGGGGACAAATAGGTTGGGAGAGATTGTTGGCTTTCAAATCAAAACATGTTAACTCCGTGCTATAGACAAAATTGACACTTGGAAGAGACCTGAGAGAGAGTATGCCGTGTTCTAGCGTTAGTCTAGTAGCCTGTTCTGTTAACTGGTGCAGCATGACCTGAGAAGTAAGGCACGTAGGATAGTCTGGTTGAGCAACTGCAGGAACAGAAAGACGATGATCCACTGAAGAGGCGTAGTGACCAAAGGTATGTTGGGGGATGATGAAAGAGAGGATTTATTCTCTTTTACACCACTACCATTCACCGGGACAAGGGGCACAGAGGGAAAGCCAGGATTAGAAGGAAGAGAGTGAGCTCATTCTTTTTTTTTTTTTTCATATACGGTTCGAGCTGACAGGATATTTTGGAGATATTGCAAAGAGACATTTGGAAATTCCAGCCTGTAGCTCAGAGGAGGTTTGAGCAAGAGATGTGGATTTGAGAGACATTTGACAAGAAGTAATGGTTGAAGACATGAAGGTCACCAGGGAGAGAGGAGAAAGGAGAAGGAGGGGGACCTTGAAGAAATCTCTCCTTTTCAGTGGAGAAACACAAAATTCCAGCCTGTAGCTCAGAGGAGGTTTGAGCAAGAGATGTGGATTTGAGAGACATTTGACAAGAAGTAATGGTTGAAGACATGAAGGTCACCAGGGAGAGAGGAGAAAGGAGAAAGAGGGGGACCTTGAAGAAATCTCTCCTTTTCAGTGGAGAAACACAAAGTCAGCAAAGAAAAGATGAAGACATTTTTCAAGAAGGGTAGTCACACTCAAATATTGTTGGGGTCAGAGTCCTCAGAGTGTGGAAAGGTAACTTGAAAGTTGGTGGACAGCACGGCAAAGATGGAGAGAAAGTTATAATCTGACATGAGTTTCAAGAGAGGAGAGACTGTTGAGTTTAAAAGTAGAAAGTTATGCAGAGATGACCCAGAAGCAACAGTGGAGTGGAGGGTAATGAGAATGTGCCCTTTCTTGGCTGAGATATAGGAGAAATTAGGAAGCAAACTTTACTTGAGAGGGTGAAAAGCTAGGTTAAAGAGAAAGGTAGGTGTTCAGTAGTGCAGAGAAATGAAAGGGGAGGAAAAGGTGAAAGTGTTTAAGGCCAAGGTCCAAAGTGTAAAGGAATTTACTGACAGTGGAATGAGAGGTCCTAAGGTTACAATAACAAAGTTTAACCATTCCATACATTTTCACTGAGTCAAGTCAACCTGAAGATAGAGCACACACCTCATCAACTACCTGTGCAGGTATGTAAACTACAGGTCTGTTACATTTTATCATAGTTAATTATGTGTTTTATAAAAATAATCATTAATTAGTCATTAGCATTCCACCTTCCTGATTTTTGTCCTTTCAGACAACCACTCTCCTTCTGTTATTTTCTTCAAATGGACTCATTGCTTTCTCATCCTCATTTTAAACAAGAATATCCATGAAATCACTGGTTCATATTTGTATTTTTATATTCCGTAAATTAAATACATAACAGTTAAAATACAAAAGGTTTATACAGGTAGAGCCTGGGGTCTGACAACTTGATTCAAATCTTACCTCTACTACTTACTAGCTGTGTGACCTTGGGCAACATACTTAACCTCGCTGTGCCTCAGTTTTCTCTTATGTAAAATGAGGATGTTGTTGGATGCTCTGGCCCACTATGATCTCCTCCTTCTCTCAAACTCTTCAGTCACTCTTCTTATCTTGTTTTCTGTACAACCTACTTGTCACCTGTCACACACTACTCTCACTCTTTTTCATTCCAGGAAAATTACTGAACACTTACTATGTGCCAGTCACTGAGAGGTTGAAGTCTGGACTGAGTGCTCAGTAAGGTCACCGAATAAAACTTAACTCACAACTTTCAGGTTGTGCGTTCTTCTTTAGCTGAAGTTTTCAACATCGAAGTGCTCATGACATTCTTATTTTGATTTGCTATCTCACTTCATAGGACCTGGGACTGTACTGCCTTGTTAGAACTCCAAGGCTTACCTGATTCAGAGACAAGTGAGAAGCCACTTAGATTTGGGCTGGGGAAGGGTGAGGAACAGGGCAGAAGTTCTAGTGCCCAGAGAAGTGATGATTCAGTAAATAGCAGGAATGTCCCCGTCTGTAGATAAGGTGACAGAATAACCTTTAGCAGGCTTTTCCTCCCTGCCTGGTACTTATTGACACAGTGAAGTCTTGGTTCACATTTCAAATCTCTACCTGAAGAGTTTCCAGAGAAACACTCTTTAGTAGCTCTGGTGGATAAACAAAAAGCAGACACAATGCTTCCTATCAACAGATTGATTGTTGCTCTCTTTCTCCCCACGTGTAGAAAGCTTTCAGGCTCTGAGTGAGCCCTCTCCATTGAAGAAGCTGCGGACTTCAAAGGCAGTCCATCACGGTCTCTGATATTTGTCGAATTGAATTTTGGAAACTGCAAGGAACCTCATTTCCAGTTCAAGCTCTGGGTAGGTTCCGGATTTTAAACAAAAGGGGTGAAACTCATCTGTCTGGTTAATCAGAAGTCGTTTTGGATAAACACCAGCTAGTTCTCTGACATCTCTGAAGTACAAAGTTTCTTCTGAGGGTCTTAGTTGCCTGAATTCTAGAAAAAAGAAAGTGAAAATGATGACACTTTTTAGAACTTTCAGGAGCTAGATTTCAACGTATCATGAATTGATCTATTTTTCCTCTACTTTGTATATCAGTAATATACACCATAAAGCCAAATCAATGCTCATCAACTATACTTAGTTACAAACTACATTCAAATTGAGATCTACTGATTGTTACTGGGCATCTGTAACCAACTATGTCATTTCATACATGTCATCACATTTTATCATATTAATCTTCACAACAAATTAGTGAGATATTATTAATCCTGTTCTAGAATTGAAGAAACTGAGATTCAAGGTCACTTAGCTAACATCTTCCTCAAATTGTAGCTACAAGAAAATACTTTTTAAAAAAGATATTGTTTTCTTATAGTGAACCTCAAGTGTCCATGAACAAATACAGAAAACTGTACAAATAACGATTTTCAACGTATAAATTGTCATGAGATGAACAGGAAACTATTTCGGGCCTTAGGCTATGTCTTGTTTTTCTTTTTATCCCCAGGTCCCAGTATAAAGAGAGATTTAATAAATGTTTGTGGAACAACATGGGTGAATAATAATGATTTCCTTGGGCCTTGGATAGATGTATACACTTGAAGGAAACAATAGAATTCTAGAACTGGAAGGGATCTTAGAACCATCTATGCCCATGGTTCTTCAAACGTTAACATGTGGCATCAGAATCCTCTGGAAGGTTTGTTAAAACACAGACTGCTGTGTTCCAGACCCCTAGAGTTTCTGGTACACGATGTCGAGGATGGGTTTGAGCAATTGGCATTTCTAACAAGTTCCCAACTGAGGCTGATGTTGCTGGTCCCGGACCACACTTTGAGGATCACTAACCTGTAACAACAATAACTAACATTTATTAAGTGCTAATTATGTGACAGGCACTGTGCTAAGGGCATACTTCATATTATGTCATTTAATCCTTACAATAAGTCTAAGGATGGTGACATTATTAGCATCCTTATTTTACTTATAAGAAAAATGAGACCCAGAGAAGCTAAGTATTTTGCCCAGATTCATCTCTCTAACAGTTGGTGGAACCAGCGTTATGCATTCAGGCTGTGTAATGCCAGATCCGGCACTCTCACCTGATGTTAGAGAACTTCACGGAGTGAGCTGCCTCGTACATTGGTCCAGAGGAGGAGACGAACGCTCACCCGAAGTGACTCACCCAAGGTCACACGACGAATTGGAAGAGGAGTGTAAATGAGGACACAGGCTTCCTAATTCTGCATCTGCCTTCTTTTGCCATAGAGCGCTAGGAACGGACAAGGGCTCCACGCTTTCTTTCAATTTAGATTTCCCAGGCCATCACCTTCTAATCAGTTTGAGTGCTACAGATGTCCCTATGGTGTTCTGATATCTTAGTTGTTTTCCTTATTTACTCACTATTTCATAACTAAGGGAGGTGGTGGTTTCCATATAGGAGAGAGTTGGGGTTGACGGATGAGTCATGAGGCTGGAGGCTAAATCCCAGAAAGGAAAGGGGTTAATCAGACTGATGAATGGCTAAAGAGTGGGTGGAAGAAATGTCTCCATGTGTCTTGACAAGTCCTCTGTAATATCTCAGCCCACACTTAGAAAATCCAGCTCTCAGGGACTTTAGGTCACTGTACCTCAACCTCCCGAGTCTCCCAGGGATGCTGGGAAGGAGAATTAAGAATGTTTGGTTCACAGAAGATTGGGCCTGGGAGGGCTCTAAATAACCCTAAATTCAGTCCCCAGAGCTCTGTCCTTAGGTGTGCTGTACCTAAGTCCCAGAGTGTGCCCGCTCCTGGGCCAGCTGTTGGACAAACATTTATAACGAGAGGCAGCACAGCGGACAGAGCCCTGGCCTTGGCTCACGTTTTTCCTCCCAAAGACAGCTTCATGAACTTGAACAGAACTAGTATCTTTCAGAGTTGACTTCCTCATCTCTAAAAGGGGTATGGGAAGCAGGATAATGTCTGCATCTGAATCCCTAGAACAATTGGGTGAAAAGATGCATTTTTTGTAGCCAAGGTGAGGTTAGAATGACTGTTGTCATGACCCAGCTACTCATCAGAAAAGCATTTTCAGAGTCAGCACAATCGCGGACGAGCTTGTTAAACTGCTTTTTTCTTTTTCTCTGACTTACAACGGAGAGCCCACTGTGGTAGCTTTTCTGGTAAAAATAAGTGCAAAATGGAGGCGGTGCCTGGAATACCGATAATTAGTTGAAGCCAAATGCACCTTTGGCCAATAAAATGCCATGGGACTGCTTGGTCTCCAGTCACACCAGGTTACAGGTCCTGAGGATGTCCATGCAGTGTATGAGCTTGGGGTGGTGGGGACAGGCAGCTTTGTGACCCTGCCTCTCTCCTGACCCTCAGTCCCAAAGGTCCTGGAATCCCTCTGTTAGCTATGGCTTGGGCACGTAGTGATCTTGGATGGTGGCATCTTTCCTCATACTGAGTTATTCTTAATTAAGCCCACAGGATTCAGCCTGGCATTCTAGTCCCTGGGCAGTCTGCTCCCAGCCAACCGTTCGTTGTCCCTCGCTTCTACCTTGTGTGACCTGGGTCTCCTCTCAGTGGTAGAATGTTATAGGCATGGGCTCTGGAAACAGAAAAACTTGGTTCCTAATCCAGCTCGATTCACTGTTCTTAACTAGACGGAGCTATAACTTGACTTTTCCCCTCTTCCGTGCCCTTACTCACACCATTACCTTGGCCTGAAATGCCATCTCTACTCCTTCACATAAAGGCAAACTCTATTCACCTCTAAGGTCAAGTGCAAATACCTCCTGTGAGCCCTTCCTTTTTTTTTTTTTTTTTGGCTATTCTATATGGCTTGTGGGATCTTAGCTCCCTGACCAGGGATTGAACCTGGGCCCTCGGCAGCGAGAATGTGGAGTCCTAACCACTGGACCGCCAGGGAATTCCCAATTCTTCCTTAACTGCACAACTAGGTGTGATCTTTCTTTGGAGTTATCTCAGTGTTCTATCTCTTCACCATTTTTTATATCTTGGCTTTAATTGTTCCCAGAGCTCTCTCTCTTCTGAATTTCTACTTTGAATCTCTGCCATGCAACCTATCACACAGCAGGGTTGCCAGATAATATACAAGACACTCAGTGAAGTTTGAATTTCAGATGAACAATGACTACATTGGTTTAGTATAATTATGGCCTAGATATAATAGGGGGAATACTTATGCTAAAATTTTTCTGTCGGTTATCTGAAATTAAAATTTAACTGAGCACCCTGTATTGTGTGTGTGCGTGTGCATGTGTGTGTTTTAACCTTTTAACAGATAGCTGTGCCCTTTTCTGGATCCTTCACTGAAAGGTACGTTGTGACGATAGCAAGTTTGTCACATTTGCATCCCCCAGTGTTTCTTCCTCAAAGAAGTTGCTTGGTAAATTCTTGTGGATTAGTAAAGGGACTGTCACACCAGCAGGTATGAGCACAGATCCTAAGAGCCTTAGCTTTGGAATCAGAGGACCAGACCGTGTTGTTTTCCCATCACTAGCCTAACCACGTGTTCCTTAGCAAACCACCCACTCTCAAATCATGCTTATCTGTGAAATGGTAAGAAGACAAGGGTATCTATTCTGTAGTCACTATCTACCTTCTGTCCTCTGAACACACGTTAAGGGCTTAGCAGAGTGTCTGCTCCATAGAAAACGTTCAGTAATTGTTAGCTGTTGCTACTGGAAACACTGAAATACATTCAGACTACATAGCTTGAGTGTAGCGGCAACCACTTTGCTACAGACAATAAGGACTCTAAAAAGGAATCAGTTACCTATGATTTGCAAACACAAAAACGCAGGATGGATCCCAGTCTTCCTTTGGAGAAATGTCTTAACTCATTTGGTTTTTCTTTCCAGTGTCCCAAGCCAAAGGTATGTCCTACTCTCAGGCTAAGGTATTGTCTGGCTTTCTAAGATGTCAGTTCTTCATCTCGTGTTCTAAGCCTGCCTTGTCAGCACCTTGAGATGTTGTAGCACCTCATCCAGCCCTTCACGACCATATTTTACTTCCCTCTTCTCCCTTTCCCCTGGTCCTGGGTGCTTTGTTCCCCAACTAGAAATTATTGGCAGCTTCCTTTGGATACTTTTGCCTTGTGTGTGTGTGTGTGTGTGTGTGTGTGTGTGTGTGTAATGTGTTGAGTGTGTGTGTGTAATGTGTTGAGTGTGTGTGTGTAATGTGTTTGTGTGTGTGTAATGTGTTGAGTGTGTGTGTAATGTGTTGTGTGTATGTAATGTGTTGAGTGTGTGTGTGTGTAATGTGTTGAGTGTGTGTGTGTAATGTGTTGAGTGTGTGTGGGTGTGTAATGTGTTGAGTGTGTGTGTGTGTGTGTGTGTGTGTGTGTGATGGGAGAAGAAATAAGTCATTCTGGCATCTCCTAATTATCCAGGCACAGTTGAATGGGTGGCCATTAGCAAAATCACTCAAATCTGACATGTATTTATTGTTACTGGGCTATGTGCAAAACCCACTCTCCCCGACTTTAATGGCCCCTCTACCAGGCACCATGAGATACTTGGCTTACAAAGTCCCATCAGATACTCACAAGAGCTCATAAGGTAGATGTGCTCAATTTTGTGGATGAGGAAACAGAATGAGCGAGGTGAGGAACTCGCTCTAAGGTCTCAAGGCTGGTACCTTCTAGCTGCGATTCAAACCCAGTTCCTTGACTCCAACCCTTCAGCTCTTTCTCTGAACCCAAGAGTTCTTCACCCTGGCTGCATTTAGAATTTAGAATCAACCCAGTACGTCCAATGTATTGATGTCCGGGCCCCGTCGCCAGAGATTCTGATTTAGTTATTTTTGACAATCGTCGCAATTATATTGCTGTCCTCTTGTCCAGTTTACTAGGATATAAGACAAAAAGATCAAACACAGTCTACTTTGATCCCCCATACTCCCCACTTGTGGAACTTGGGCCCTAAAACTTTCCTAAGATTTGTAGTCAAGGATTATTTGTCTCAGTTGCTGGGATTAATCCTAGATATAAACGTGTGCTGTGTAGCTGTGGACATATGGACACAACTGCTCAGAAGTGCTGAGGTGGAAGCAACAGCATGCTCTGCTCTTCTGCTGTGTGAAAAGAGTTCTTAAGAAGGTATTTCGGTGACTTTTCCTCCCCAAGTTTATTTTACATTGCTTTCTTTGGAAATCTTTTGCAGCAAGTTACCCAGTTTTCAGAGACTTGTTTCTTCCCTGTTGATCTTCAGTCTACGTCATCTTTCTCCAGGACAGGATGGTAGCAGGCTGAGGCTGGGCAATTCATTTTATGTGCTCAATTGACTTCATCTTCCTCTTTGTTTCCATTTCTTTTTAAGGATTTTGCTGACTGTATTCCCTTTTTCCTATTCTCTCACCTTCAGGATACCTTAGAAAGTCTTCCCCGCCAAGAAAATTGTCATGTGCCATTAATGATCTACATCTGAAGTTAATCTTTGTTTCAATACCATTGGCCTACTTCTTTGGACTGTGATCGTTGACCAATTTCATTTTGGGGAATTTTAGGGTTTTTTTTTTTGTTGTTGCTAAATGAGGTGTAACAAAATCTAGCACTCATGATTTCCATGAAAAATTCATTCACTAAACAAAATTGACGGAGCGGTGGCGCAGTGGTTAAGAATCCGCCTGCCAATGCAGGGACAAGGGTTCGAGCCCTGGTCCGGGAAGATCCCATGTGCCACGGAGCAACAAAGCCCGTGCGCCACAGTTACTGAGCCTGTGCTCTAGAGCCCGCGGGCCACAACTACTGAGCCTGTGTGCCACAACTACTGAAGCCCGTGCACCTAGAGCCCGTGCTCTGCAACAAGAGAAACCACCACAATGAGAAGCCCGCGCACCACAACAAAGAGTAGCCCCTGCTCGCCGCAACTAGAGAAAGCCCGCGCGCAGCAACGAAGAACCAACGCAGCCAAAAATAAATAAATACATTTATTAAAAAAAAAATTGGCCTGTTTATTTGTTTACTATGTCTCCTCCACTCAACTGTTAGCTCTTCTACGCACTGAGTCTGTTTTGATTACCGCTGTGTACCTGGTGCCTAGAATCATGGTTGGGTTTAGCAGGTGCTCTGTAAATATTGCTGGAATGTTGACTATTGAGTGGACTTGGGAGTCTGACGTGCTGGGTTCTGAGTTTCTGCTGCACCACTTACAAGCTGTGTGTTTGTGACCTTGGGCAAGTTAACTTCTCTGAACCTTCATTTCTACCTTTGTAAAATAATAAAAATAGTAGTAGTAGTAATAAACCTCATATGGTGGTTGTAAAGATTAAATGATCTGTGCATATAGAGAAACGAGTTCAGTGCCTGGCACATAGAATATCCTTGTAAGTGCTAATGGAGGTGATGATGTTACTGAGAAATATTGATTTTCATGATAATATTATTGGGGAACAGAAATATATTCCAAAATTTAAGAGCTACTAACTTCAAAAAATAATAGCTATTCAGCTCCAGTGAGGCAAATAAATGAAGTAGAAGTTTGTCCACTTGCCTGTCCCTATATATTTTCATCCTGTAATGAGTTTCTATTCAAGAAGAAGAAAACAAAAAAGTTGATTCAATTCATTTACATGTAAATAACCAAGAACTTACTCTGATAATTTAAGGGAATATGAGCATCTTCTCTTGGCTGTAGGAGGCTGCTGATGGGGTGCAGGAAGACTTTAAAAAGAAGGTGGAAAGGAGCACGCATGCTACGGAACCAAAGGGCCCTGGGATCATAGGCAGCTCATTCAAGCGGCAGTTGTGAGACCCATTTATTTGACTTTCTTCTGTTTGCACAGATAGAAACACCCTGCAGGGTTTATTAAGAGCAGATGTATTAAATATCAACACTGAAAACTAGTTTAACCGGGAAACAAATGAGCATTTAAAAACAGAAAAAAAGAGAGAATGAACAGGAGCCGAGAGAGAAATGTGAAAACTTACAGGAATCCTAGCCAGGAAAAAAGTACCCAAGTCAAGGTCATAGCCAGATACAGTCAGTCACATAGGGAAGAGAGAAAATAGGTGGGACTGCTAGGGAGCATCTGGAATGCTGGTACCACTGAATTCATATTTTGGGGAGATTAGAGCTTTCCAAAAATATACAAGAGGTCATAGGGGGACCTGGATATCCTAAAAGTTTTCTTCTTTAAAATACCTACAATTTATGAATTAAAAAATTTTTAAATCTTATACTTCAATAAAAAATTTATTAAATTTTTTTTTAAATCTTTCAAAATGTATCACTATGCTGATTGCAAAGTAAGAGGCAAAATAAATGAACAGATGAGGAAGCAGAGACATAAGAGAATGATGACGCTGATGGCTCCCCTGTGGGTATCTTTCTACGCTCAAGTGACCCAGAGACTTGGTTTTAATATCTGAACAGTCTATGTGAGACAAAGTCCAGGGAACATGAGAAGTCAGATCAGAGACCCTCTTATAAAGTACTTTAACCCCAAAGGATATCTCCTCGGTGACAGTTGAAAACAGGAACTTCTGCAACTCCATTTCCCCACTGAAGAGGATAGAAAGGAAACTTGCCTGCGTTAACAGGCTCTGGATAACAGGAGGAAGAAGCTGAGAATTTATGACCACAGGTTAACTTTTTGCAGGCTTGCAGCCAACTTCACACTTTCCCTGTAGTTTGAAAAACCCTAGTTGATAGTTTGTTTTAATGGGGCCAAGTATCTCAGTCTAGAAACAAATCAAATCCACACTGAAGGAATCACCTTTATCATAGACCTTACCAATGCCCAGATGTAAAATTCCACGGAACTGGAGTTCACAACTGAAAAAAGGATTACAGGGCACTTGAGGAAACAAGGCCTCATGAGAGAGAACCAGCAAAAACAACAGACAACAGGTACAGCCTGGCAGACGCTTCAGCTATTCGGTTATTGATTATGGAATAAATTGAAGTATATTTAACATGCTTATCAAAGAAAAGATGCTATCAAATGGATGAGTAAAGAATAAGAGATTATTGAAAATGACTGGGCCAACTGGACAATCAAATAGAACCTTCAGGACCAAAAATTGAAATTAATAAAAGTAAAAATTATTACGTTTGAAAGGGTTGCATAAGTACCTACATGATTGTACTACCTTTGATTTTGTCTCTTGGTCCCTAAAGCCTAAAATATTCACTATCTGGCCCTTTACAGAAAAGCTTTGCCGACCCACGTGGTAGAGGCCCACCGTCAGCCTGAGGGGTCAGCTGAGTACCACACAGGCTGGGCTGACCACAGCAGATGAGGGACACAAGGGGATTGAATGAGGGAGGCCAAGCAAGACTCAGTTGGACACAGTGTTGGTCCTCACAACAGAAGTGGGGCTGGTTTCCTGTGTCCATGAATATAACCGGAGGAACAGCTTGAATAACCCCAGAGGCATGATGGAAGCCGGAGGGCTTGCCTTCTTAACTTTGATGTATGGGGTGGGGACATAAATCTTTGTTGCTCAGGAATATCAAAAGTTGAAAGCATGAGTGTGGGGAGGTCTGGGGCAGGAAGAGATTGGTCCATGAATATAATTATTAAGCAATTATGGTTGGCATTCTGCAAATAGAACAAATTAAAAAGGAAAGGGAGAAAGGGGATTTCTTTCCCTGAATCGCACGTCTCTGCAGCATACCTTCTGATGCTCCCTGATTGCCAAATGTGGGTCCAGGCCAAGTGAGTTTTATGGCCATTGGCTGCACCTGGATGGGCCTCAAAGCTTTGTTTCTGAACACCAAGTGCCGACATGTTTGCCCTGGGAGGACTCAGGGAGGGGCGAGGATGCTGGCAGGAAGCTTTGAGGTGGCCCCAGTGTAAGCTGCAGGAAGCCAGTGGGGGTAGTGACCTGGGGAAAGGAAAGCAAGAGGCTTGCCACACCCCAGGGTGTTTCTCTGAATGTGGACACCACACCCAGTCTGTCCGAGGCCCTCCCAATCATGTGTGCTCACTTCTCCCCCGTGCTTCAGAAGGGGACAACAAGGATGGAGTCTTAGAACAAGGAGGCTGGTCGTGAGTAACCATTTTCTGAGCCTCTGTTATATGCCAGGTGCTTTAGACAACAATCTCGTGGAGTAGATATTCACTTCCCCATTTCGTGGACGAGGAAACCAAGGCCCAGGTAGATGCATTAAGAACTGGGTCCAGGGCCACAGAGTGAGTTAGCAATGAATTCAGGTCTCCCTCCAGATTCAACTCTTTCTTCCCTACCAAGCAGGTGTAACCAAGAGCCACATGGAGTGAGCAATCCCACTCCTCCGGCAAGAACATGGAGGAAAACAGAAAATTAAGTCCTGCTGCCCTCATGCCCCCTCCGCCATGCCCTGGTCTGACATCCAGTGTTACTCTGCTAAACAGAGTAATTTGCCCCTAAATGTCTCTAGTGACTTATCACAGCTTTTTTTGTCTGACATGTTAACACGAGCCTCAGTGTAACAAAAGTACTGTTATCAGGAAGTTGTCACGGAAATGCTCACGTGTTGGAGTGTAGAGGTGAAGAATGGTGTACTGAGATTTCCCGCCGGGAAAGATGTATGAAGTACTTGGGTTTGTGGAAAGTTAAGAGGGTCTAACCCTGATGCTGGAGGAGTTGACGGGTAACACAGAACAGAAGGAAGGTTCTGGCAGGGAATAGAGGGTGGGTCACCATGACAACACCTGAGTAAGGAGGGCAACCTGGGGTCAGTGTGTGGAGACAGACTCCATTCACAGGCTTCATGGCTGTCTTGAAAGCTGGGGTTAGAGCTCACCTTCAACTGGATGGATCAAAAGGACAATGGGAATTCTAGCAACAGGTAGAGGGAAGGGAGAGGAAGGGCATTGTGATGGTTGTTGCCCTTGAGAGCATCGTGCTAAGTGAAGTAAGTCGGACAGAGGAAGACCAATACCATATGACCTCACTTGTATGTGGAATCTAAAAAAAAGCGAACTCATGGAAACAGAGGACAGGTTGGTGGGTGCCAGAGTTGGGGGGTGAATGGTGGGAGAAATTGGTGAAGGTGACCAGAAGTTACAAACTTCGTTACAAGATAAGTAAGTCCTGGAGATGTTATATACAGCATGGTGTGTACAGTTGACAATACTGTACCGCATACTTGAAAGCTGTTACATGTCAATATCACAATTAAACTAGAAAAATGTATTATATATAATTCTATGTATTATATACTATATTATACAGACTATATATATTTTGTTACTGGTGCACCTCGTTTTCTTACTGTGCTTCACAGATATTGTGTTTTATACAAATTGGACATTTGTGGCAACCCTGCCTCAAGCAAGTCTACTGGTGTTGTTTTTGCAAAAGCATTTGCTCACTTCATGTCTCTGTGTCACATTTTGGTAATTCTCTCAATATTTCAGACTCTTTCATTATTATTATACTTGTGATGGTGATCTGAGATCAGTCATCTCTGATATTACTACTGCAAAAAGAGTATGACTTGCTGAAGGCTCACATGATGGCTAGTGTTTTTTATCCATAAAGTATTTTTGAATTAAGCTATGTACTTTGTTTAGACATAGTACTATTGTACACTTAATAGACTACAGTATAGTATAAACATAACTTTTTTATATGCTCTGGGAGACCAAAACATTCGTATAACTCGCTCTGTTGGGGTGGTCTGGAACTGAACACACCATCTTTCTAGAATC